CACCTGGACCCGCAGACCGTTAGTTCACCGTTTAGAAAGGTCTTTACAGATTCAGCCAGCTAAGGATCTCAAGAAGACCTTAGACTTGGGGGAGGCCTAAGTCTGAGAGTTGGCATCTTTACAAGAAGAAGAAAGGACAAGTGACATGCATAGGCTGGGTGCGCTGCTACATGCCTGTAATCCCAACACCCAGGAAGCTGAGACAGGAGGATTACAGGTTTGGAGACAGCCTGGGCTACATTGCAAGTCTATCTCAAAAGGCAATAAACAAATTAATTAAAATAAATTTAAAAGGGAGAAGAAGAATTGAGGGAGGAAAGAGACTTAAGACCAAAGAGCTATATGGGGCAATGTACCAGGCACAGTGTCAGCTGGAGTGTCATGGCTACACCGTCAGGAACTCTGAGCATTGCTGGGACCCGGAAGCTAGAGAGAGCCTGGGGAGGAGTCTTCCCTTGCCCTTTGGAGGAAGCTTGGCCCCACCCATACCTTGATTATATCTCTCGTCAGCAGGAGAAAATGATTTCTGTTGGGTTAAACCACCAAGAAGCGTGAAGGGGAGACTGGCCTCCTAAGTGTGTTCCCTGGGTCTGGTTCCTTCCTGTGACACTCACTAATCACACAGCATGTGTATGTGTGTGCAGAAATGTCAGAAAGCACACATCCCCACACAGACATGGCTACTCACTTCAGACATGAGACACCTACTCTGCATCAGCCCTAGACTTTGTTTAGGAACTCAGCCATGTTTTGGATACCACGAACCAAATTTAAAATGAACCGTTCATAATTAATGCGTTTATCAAATAATTTTATTAAGCCCCCCCCCCAACCCGGCAGGTTTTTGGCATGCCTTTGACATTATTCATATTATACCACGACTCCAAGGCAAGCTGTCAGCTTGGCTGTCTTGAAAGATTAATGGTACTTGATTTGACTCCAAACCACGGGTCATTAAAAGTGATTTAAGTGTAAGTAAAGTTCTTGGTGTTGTGTCTGCCTTCCAAGTGAAAGACCCGATCACAGCTTCAGCGGGTAAGTGTTTTGTGTTCACTCACGTTTCTAAAGCGTGTGGATTAGGGCTGAGGAGACAGCTCCATCAGTAAAGTCCTAGCTGCATAAGGAGGAAAACCCAAGGTCTACCCCCAGCCTCCATGTGAAAAACACACACTTGAAATCCCAGCTTTGGGGAGGGAGAGACAGGTGGATGCCTGGGGTTCGTTCGCTGGCCAGCCTAGCTGAATTGGCAAGCTCCATGTTCCAGTGAGAGACCCTACTTCAAAGAACAAGATGGCTCCTAAGGAAGAATGACATTTTGAGGTAGTCCTTTGGCCTTTCCACATACATGCACACGGATGCATGTGTGTTCACACACACACATGTACACATACACAACTAAAATTTGTGTGTTTTTTCAAAGAACATTTGTGAGTGACTGTCACTGCCCACATGTGGTTTGGATAGAATTCCACATCAGCTGATTGCCTTTCCAGGGGCTGTGTGTGTGTGTGTGTGTGTGTGTGTGTGTGTGTGTGTTCATTTCTTCACCCGCCCTCTTGGCTCCTTTACATCCTTCTCTCACATTCAGATAGCCAAATGGGTTCGGCGAAGCATTGCAATAGAGAAACACTTCTCAAGCCCTCTTGCCTATGGTGAGCGGAATCAGCATCTTAGCCATTGTCTTCTGCAGGGCACTTCTGCCGTTCCTTCCCCGAGGAAGGCTCCTTGCTGGCAGTCTGGGGTTGTCTGTTAAAGAAGTGTGATCTTGCTTGCTGCCTCCCCTGGCCGTATCACAGCATCAGGCTTACCTGGGTTAATTCTGCTTGTCAGTTAAGGGGAACTCTGGTAAGAGAGGTGACATCAGGGAAGAGGGGCCGAGCAGAACCAATTACCCGCTTTAATAATTCAGTGTGTCTCTTAGTAATAGGCTGCAGAGTAAACAGCACTACACGTAAATGCCGTTTTCCATTATTTACACACTCCAGAAATGGAAGTTTAATTAAGTCACACACTTGAGACTTTGAAGCGATTAAGGGGCCACTCGTCTCAGACAGCAGGCGGGGAGGTGCGACAGACAGCAGGTGGGGAGGCTTGAGACTTTGAAGCGATTAAGGGGCCACTCGTCTCAGACAGCAGGCGGGGAGGTGTGGGAGCCTCTGCTCCCTCCTGAGCTGCCTCTGGGGTTCTACGGATCATTTTTCAGGTGAGTGTGGGGAGGCTGGAGCCTGGACAATGGGGGCAGCGATTTCCAGGCTCACTCATGCCGCAAGTGTTATTGCTGCACCGCCATGGCCGGCTTTAAGTTTTTTTCTACAAAAATCTATGTGATAAATTTGAGTGCATCTGTGTATTAATAACAGCGGTGCTAGAGTTTAATCCTGGTACTTTTAGACACAGATAAATTGTCATGACTTTTAGTGTATTTATAAAATTGTGCAACCGCTACCCCTGTTTAATTAAAGAACATATTCATCACCCTGAAGGAAACTGTATCCACTGTTATCCTCACAGTTGGCTGTTTTCTGTTTCCACACATGTTCTAGCACGCATCAGTACTCATTCCTTTTTATTGCAAAATAATATTTCGTTGTGTAGCTCACCACATTTTACTTAAGCATTCTTCTCTTGAAGAATATTTAGGGTGGGCTTGGGGATCATGCTTATTGCTGGTGTGGACATTTGTGTTCGGGTTTTGTGTAGACATGTTTTCAATGTACATAGCTCTGAGTGAAATTGCTGAATTGGGTGGTGCACTCCATATTTAGCATTTTCAGGAACTGCCAGTTTCCCAGTGTGCCTATCATAGTTTCTAATGCCACCAGCTGTGCTGGAGGGCTCCAGTTCTCTTAAGTGCCTTTATTTATTTCTGTGCTGCTGGGGATCAAATCCAACACTCTGCACAAGTCAGATTAACAATGTACCACTGAACCATATTTAGAGACAGGGTTTCTGTGTAGTCCAGATTGATTTGAACTCACTGTACCACCAAGGCTGGCCTCAGACTCATGATGCTCCTGCCTCAGCCTCCTGGATTTGTCTTTCTCTCTCTCTCTCTGTCTCTCTGCCTGCCTGCCTGTCTGTCTGTCTGTCTCTGTCTCTCTCTTTCAAAATACCCCGCAATGCTGGACATTGGTGGCATGGGAGGCAGAGTCAGGGATTACTGTGAGTTTGAGGCCAGCCTGGTCTACAGAGTGAGTTCCAGGACAGCCAGGGCTACACAGAGAAACCTGTCTGGAAAAAAAAAAATTCCCCCATGCCAGTACCAGGAATAATTGTAATCATACAGGTAGGTGATGATTGACAGAGAACAAACTGCTGTTGTTGGTTTTTGGCCTGGTCCTCTTCCCTCCTGAGGTTCTGCTGAGGTTCTTCTGTCTACTGAAGGGGGAGTAAGCAATATTAGAATAGCATTCAAGGCATATCAGCACGAGACTGAGACTTTGTCATTGACATTGCTAGAAAAGGGCTGGAAATGGGAAGCCTGTGCCATGGTGACTTGGCACAGCACCATCCTTCACCCCCAGTGAACTGGGAAGCAGTTACATAAGCCATCAGCTCCATGATCCCATTTTACAAATGGCTCAAGGTGGCTCAGTCCTGTTTGTTTTATTTTCCCAAGAAGGCCTTGGATAGGTTTGAGAAGCTAGCAACACTAAGACTAATAGGATGGTCCATATAAACCAGCACTTCCATTTCTAAGAATGCAGTCTAAAGAAATAGTGCAGAAGAAGAAAAGGCCACTGGCTACAGCTGCTTGCTGCAAGCGTTTGAACTAATCGAAGAATTAGAAAGAACCAATGATAAAAATGATTATAGGTAATGGTGTTTCCTTGCGTGGAATAATAGATAGCCATTAAAAACAATGGTTATGCAGGCTTAAGAGATGACAAGAAAAATGAAAGAATCAAATAAAAATAGCAATTAAAATTATATGCGTGCTGGGTGTGGTGCCACATGCTCTAATCCAGGCTCTTAGGTGCCAGAGGCAGGTGGATCTTTGTGAGTGTGAGGCTAGCCTGGTCTGCATAGTAAGTTCCAGGCCAGACAGGGCTACAAAGTAAGACCCTGTCTCAAGTGTGTATGTATAAACATACACACACACACACACACACACACACACACACACACACACACAGAGAGAGAGGCATGCTATCAAGCAGCTGTAAAAAAGAAAAAAGTATGTATTCAATTGAATAAAGACCTAATTACAACATGAAAAATGCAAATAAAAAACGCAAGAAGTTTTCATCTGACAACTTTAATATTTTATATAATTTTTAATATTTTAATTACTTATTTGGGAGGCACAGTGCATGTACATCATGGTGTATGTGTGAAAGTCAGGAAATAACTTGAAGGAGTCCATTTTTCCTTCTACTGTGTGGGTCCCAGGGATCAAATTTAGGTCATCAGACTTGAACCCTCTTGCCAGCTCAAGTATTTTAATATACTGTGTTTTATGGTTTTCGGCTTCAAAGGTACACTATTTTCATCATTTTCCTAAGGATAAATGTTTGTTTATTTATACTGTCTTCTGTAATATATAATGTTGAATAGTGGTATAAATCAGAATGAAATATGTAATCATCAGCTTTGGTAAACTTGAGAGAAGACAGATCCATGATAGAAAAGAAAAATGCCAACACTCCTGGACTTTCTCCCATGAAGAAGGCAGCCAGGCAAAGTGCTAGGAAAGACATTCCAGGCTGGAGAACAGAATTATTGCTGAATGTCTCAGGGAGAAGAAGATAAAGATGAGTATGTGGAGGGCCCAGAGCTGGAGGGTCAGGAGGCTGGAGGCTCCGACTGAGTCGGGGCTGAGTCCCCAACACTGATGTTGGGCACCTGGCTTGGCAGAAACACTGTGATCTGGAACTAAGCTCCACTGGGTGAGGAGTGACCCGGAAGTAGATGAGTGATCCCAAGAGGAGAGGGGAGATGCAGGAGCGCTTCTCAGTGTCCTTCACCCACTGGATGCAGGCACATGCCTGTGTCTGGCGATGGCCATGAGGAGCCAGGAGCGTCCCGCTTCCTCTCCTGGGTGGGACCCGCACCGTGAGAAAGTGGTGCCCTCCCAAGACATCTTTGATTTCGTCAAGGCAAGAGCTGAGCTAGGCAGGTGTTCCCAGCATATGGACAGAGGTAAAAATGTCATTGAAATCATCCTGGCCTGGCTGAGGGCTGAATCGTGGGTGGGATGGTTTTGTGTGATGCATGTGTGTTGGTAAGCAGCCTCCATGAGTTCCACAAGACTGTAGCATTAGAATCTGTGTGTGTGTGTGTGTGTGTGTGTGTGTGTGTGTGTGTGTGTGTGTGTGTGTTTACCCGATAACAAACAGCAGATGAGTATGCTTGCCAGTTTCCTACTGTCTGTGGTATAGGCGATTTCTTCCAGTTACAGCCAGAGGCATGATGGGAGGTGTGGGTCAGAGTTGTGGGAGAGGGTGACCAGGAAAGGTGACTCAGCGGGTATTTCAGAGGATGAATGGAAGCAGAGTGCGGTAGCCATGTCTGCAGTCCCAGCAATTGGGCATCAGATGATCAGGAGTTCAAGACTAGTCTTAGCTACGTAATGAGCTCTGGGCCAGCCTGTGCAACGAGACCTCAACTCAAAAAACAAACAAAAACTGGCTGGAGACATAGCTCGGCTGGTAAAGTGCTTGCCTTATAAGTAGGAGGACCTGGGTTCAAACCCCAGGACAGCCATGGCGATGCAATCCACTTGTATCTTCAGCCCAGGGAGGCAGATCCTTGAGCTCTTGGCCAGTCAGCCTAGCCTAATAGGTGAGTCCCAGGCTAGTGATCACTCCTGTCTCAAAGGAACAGCATTGAAGATGTCCCCTGGCCTCCACACACACCACTCACACGTGTGCGCATGTACCTGCAAACGATGCACCTCTGTGCATGGGCACTTGTGCAAACACCCACCTACCTACCACATAAATTCCAAACAGCAAATGTCTACTTCAGTTGTTTTTTATAAAACAAGCCAGAGCCTAGTTACCACCCTGCCATCTGGCCAAGCCCAGAGCCCTGAGGGGTTAAGAAGTTCCAGTTTCCTGGACAGAGCCCCTCAGATCCTTGCAGACTGGGGGGACATTTGAGAGGTGCTGGGTGTGCTCTAGGTAGGGGCTGGTGAAAGGCACACCATCGCAGCACCCCCACGCTTCATTATTCATGTGACAGGACACCAGGGCTGCCCAGGATCCAGAGCCTGAGGTTTGTAATGTAATGTGAGAGGGAGCAGTGAGGCCAGCGAAGGTCTCGTTAAATCCCGACCACTGGCGCTGGACCTGGCACCAGAAGTGGCTTTTCATTACCTGTTACCAGATACCATGAATTATGCATGCCTGGTCCTTGTTTTCTGCACTGCACAGGCCAAAACACTGGAGCCTCCCGAGGAGGGAAGGGGTGGTTTGCTCTGCCTTGGGAAGTGGGAGTTTGCCTTCCCTTCTTCCCTTCTTTTGGATTTAGTGCTGTGGGGGTGTTGGGGGGGGCCTGAAAGCCAGAGCCTCAGCATGCAGCCAAGTACTCTACCACTGAGTACACCCCTGCTCTACACACTTGGTGGAAAAAGTATTTGTCCATCAGTTTGGAAGGCACACACACAAATGCAGATAATGAAATGAATTTCCATACACTCAACACTCAACTTAAGAATTGCAACTTTCAGGACTGGAGAGATGGCTCCACCTTTGAGAGTGTGGGTATGCTGCTCTTGCATAGGACCAGAGTTCAGTTCATGACACCCATATCACGTGACTCACAACTGCCTGTAACCCCAACTCCAGAGGATCAACACTTTGTTCTGGCCTTTGCTGGCATGTACACACACACACACACACACATTAACATAAATAGAAATAAATTCATCTGTGGAAGAAAAGAAACACAACTTTTAGTCAGCCTCCAGAAATAACTACCATCCTGTATTAGATTACCTTCATTCTTCTTGGTATAATGTACTTTTAGTCCATATATATCTGCAAATAAGATACACTCTTTCTTTTATTTAAGGGCAAAATGGTTTATTTTTAAAACAAAAACAGAGAAACAGAATGGTACCACACTGATCGTGGTGATCAGCCTACACATGATCATGGCTTTTCTCTTGGGTACTAACATTGCAGTGTTTAGACACTGAAAGGTTTCAATGGGACCAAGAACATGAGAGAATGAGGATCTTTTGTGAATGGACACTAGTAGCTCTGGTGCTTTAACCCCCAGAACTCATTTCACATCCCCGGAATAGATGGCGTTCTGCTACGACAGCACTCTGTCTTGTGTGGAAATCTGAATGTGGTTACCTACTGCAGTCCTTCCGAACTTCCTCATTTCCTCTTAGACTTGATGTTGGAGCACACCAGTCCGGTTTATTCTTTTTCATGGCAATATGATATTCCACACTCTCACCATGGCAGATATGTTGGTGATTTTTTTTTTTTGCATGGTCATTAGTTTATTTTTTTTAAACAGAACTGTTCTGCATGCTCTTGCAAGGGATTGTGCAAACATGCAAGAGTTTCTGCAGGTTTTTCATGTAGGAATCCGAGTGGAAGGACAGGGTGTGTGCCCATCTTCATGCCTGCTAACTTGCCAATTATCTCTTGAGTTTGAGCCAATGTCCACTGTTGGGTACCCCACAGAGCTGTCTGTTTCCTGCTCCCATTCACAGGGGAGCTCATCAGGGACATCCTTTTGTTTATCTTATCATCTTTCCTAGTCAACAAAGATTTAAATCATTCATTTAAGTTTCTATGTCCCAGCTCATCGAGGCTCAGACTCACTGTCCATGTGTGAAGATGGGCATGGTGGACTCCTTCTGTTTAGGAGGGGGGAAGGTGTTCATATTTCAACTCTGAGGATGGAATGGACGGTCTCTTGCACACTAGGCAGGTGCCTTACCAGCACACTCTATTCCAGTTCCACTTACCATTACCTCTGTAACACACTCATGTTCCCAAATACATGGCATATTTTAGCCAGCTGTTCACATTGGGTCTCATTGCATTTTTGATAATTGTGTGTGTGTGTGTGTGTGTGTGTGCATGAGTGTGTGTGTGCATATGTGTGCATCCTGACACATACGTGGTGATAAGAGGGCAGCTTGCAGGAGTTTAGGAGTTGGTTCACTCCTTGCACCATGTGGTTCCAGGGATACAAACTGAGGTCCTTGGATGTGGCTACAAGAAACTTCTGCTGAAAGAAACATCTCAGAGGCCCCAGAGTTATGGACCCTGTAGCTGGTGCCTTAACTATGTTTAGCTCATCATCTTAGTGTTGTTCACGTGGCTTTTCCTCCCATCCACATAAGTTAGCTAATGGGGAATTGGTTTTAATAGTGGGCATGACACCTCCATGAAGTATAGATAGGAAGACCAGCAGGCATGGGGGTCCCGAGGGGCGGGGTCCTTGTAGTTTCCAGGCTCATCCTGATTTAGTTTTTCCTCTGCCACAGTTCCCTAGAGATGCTCTGCATTCACGCCCCGATGCCACTGATGAATTTCTTGTCCCGGAGGCCTGTCTCATTTGCCAGGTGTCACACTGCAGAGCCACCCAGCACTGATGGGCTCCCACCCTGTCGGCAACCCTTTCCCATTGTCTGTCATAACCCTTTTCACTTTTTAAAAACATTATTTTTATTATAAGTGCGTTGGTGTTTTGCCTGCATGTATGTCTGTGTGAGGGGTCAGATCTTGGAGTTGCAGACAGCTGTGAGCTGCCATGGGGGTGCTGGGAGAATTCCATCTCTCCAGCCCCAACTTTTTGACTTTTTCTGCAAAATACTTAGGGGTTGTCCCTCCCCCAGGGTGTGTTCATGTGAGTATGAGACGTGTGTGCGCGTGGAGGCCAGAAGACAAGCGTGGGTGTTATTGCTCAGGCTCCATCCAACTTTTTTTTTTTTCCAAGACTGTTTCTTACTCATCTGGAACTCAACAAATGGGCCAGGCTGGCTGCTGTTGAGCCCCAGGGACCACCTGTCTTGCCTCCCAGTGCTGGGATTACAAGGGGGCATCACTGCCTGGCTTTCGTTTTTTTTTTTTACACGGGTTTCTGGGGATCCAATCAAGGTCCTCATGTTTTCAGGGCAAGCACGTCACAAACTGGGCCCTGCCACCTTTTCAGTGTCCTTTCTCTTCTTCCCTTGTCTTCTGCAGGAGGTGACTCCTGCATCTTTGCTTTGTTCACCTCTATTCTAGAATGTTCTCTCACATGTAATAGGCCTTCTAGTAAAGATTCGTCCATAAAGGAATGGGTGGTGGTTAGTAAAGATCAAAGAGAGAACATTTTGGAGAGAAAGTAAGAATGAGTGAATTGAATGAATGTTCACGTGTCAAGTTCTAGTGTCTTAGGGTTTCTGTTGCTACGACAAAACACTAGGACCCAAAAGCAAGTTGGGGAGGGAAGGGTTTATTTGGCTTATACTTCAGCATTGCTGTTCATCACTGAAGGAAGTCAGGACAGGAACTCAAGCAGGGCAGGATCCCAGAGGCAGGAGCTGATGCAGAGGTCGTGGAGGGGGGGCTGAGTACTGGCTTGCTTCCCTTGGCTTTGCTCAGCCTGCTTTCTTACAGAACCCAGGACCAGCAGCCCAGGGATGGTCCCACCCACCATGGGCTGTACTCTCCCCCTCATTGATCATTAATTGAGAAAATGTCTCACATCTGGATCTCATGGAGGCATTTCCTCAGCTGAAGCTCCTTCCTCTCTGATGACTCTAACTTGTGTCAAGTGGACACAACAAAACCAACCAGTCCACCTAGAAATACACTGCATGGACTGAAATAAAACCTTGAATGGAAACAGAAGAGTGACTGAGTGACCATCCATTCAGGTAGGCTGCATTGGTGGCGTGGTTAGGATTCCTAATTGGCAGTTTGTGCTTGATCTTCAAGGTAGGCAAGCCTCACACGATTCTGATTGGAAAACTAGCAAGACTGACATCTTGGAACTCCCCCCCCTCCTGCCCCCCTCCCCTCCTCCCCCGCACCAGTGGGGACTGCACTTTAGTTTGGGGACTAAAGGTAAAGCTGAGATGGACAGACCTCCTGGAGGGCTGTCACGGTGCTAGGGGAGAGAAGTCAATGGCCACATCTGAAGAGAATAGAATAGGGGGAATGAAGAGAAGTGACCGATCCACAAAGACACCATCTTTCCTCGTGACTCCCGAAGTTAGTGAAATCCAAGAACCGGCTGCATCTAGCCTGGGCTGAGCCACCAGGCCATGCTTCTGCCAAGCTTGCTCTTAAGTAATCAAACTGGGACAGGGTCCAGGATGCTCCACCCACAACTTCTACTTCCCTCTCGGTGAAAGCAATCTGGAACGAGCCTGGGAGTTCGCCAGAGGGGTGGAGGGTGGGGGTGGGGCAGCCTGCAGATTGAACTGGAAGGTTTTTGGAAGGAAGGTGGCATTTGACATCCAAGTTCCCCTGCTCTCCAAGTCTTTTGTGCGAGTAAATTGCTTTCATTTGTCTCAGGGCACCTTTTTCAGCCTAACCTCTTCCAGCTTGCCTGCAAATGTTTCTCAGTGGAGCTTTTGAGGCTTGGCTTCATCTCCCTGGCTGGGACCAATCTTTATTCCTAGGAAATAGCTGGATGATGATCCTAGACTCTTGGATTCCACTTCTCCTCCCAGCTGTTCAGTCAGTATTGGATACCTTGATGTTCGCAGGTTTGCCCGCCTCCCCCCTTCCTGCTTCTTATTAGGAGTCTCGTACCCACCACCTCACCCCTCCTTGGCCAGACAGTTAGGATTAATACCTGTTCCTTCAAGACTGCCCTGGGACACAGTGAGCGTGGGGACATGTAGGCTGTTCCTTTCCCTCGCCGCTTGCAACGGCACGGTCTTCCTCCCATCCAACAGTCACGCATTCCGCCGCAACCTAAAAACCTCCAGATGACGGGAGTATCATATTTCGAGGTTCACATGGGAAAGCCACAACTCACCCTTCTCCTGTTCAAGTTGCATCAAATCTAATTTCCATGGCCCTGTGCTAGTGGGAACCCCCACAGCCCCCAGTCAGCTGTCGGAGTTTGGGAATGATATTTCCAAACACAGCCCTGTAGGCAGCCAGCAGGCACTAGACAGCTGAGCGCTGGCAGAAAAAGTCCCAGACACCTACAGACATCCAAACAGTGACTCATCTCACGATGGCCAGGATAAATATGGGAATAAATGGTATTTTTTCTACAAGCAGGGATTGTCAAAATGCTTATCACTTTATAAAATATAACAGATTGTGCCTGTTCATGTTTTGAAATGTTCCAACCATTCCGTGGGTTTTTTTTTTTTTTTTTTTTTAAGTTCGGCTTGTTTTTCTTCTTTCTAGGAGGCCCGGGGAAGTTAGGAGCTTGCACTCGGTGCCGCCCGAGCTCTGGATTCACCTGGCTGTGGTGGCCTGTGGCAACCGGTTGGAGGAGACGCTGGTCATGCTCAAGTCAGCCGTGCTCTTCAGCCACAGGAAGATGTGTTTTCACATCTTCACGGAAGATGCTCTGAAGCCCGAGTTTGATAAACAGGTGAAAGCAGGGTCAACTGCTGCGGCACAGTGTTTATGGGAGGGGCCATTCGGACCACCCTGGAGGAGCTGACGGTGCAGATCACAGCTGGGGCGGGCTGCGTGCTCAGTGGGAGGACCTTGGGTCCTTGGCTCGGAGGAGGGCGCCTTTGCTTTCGCTCGTGTGGTTCAGAGGTGGGCTGGAGAGATGGCTCAGTTTCTAAACTCTTGCTGAGCAAGCGTGAGGGACCTCAGTTTGGGTCTCCATAGCCCACCGTAGCCTGTGTCTGGAATCCCAGCACTCGTAGGATGATGTCTGGAATCCCAGCACTCGTAGGATGAGATGAGAAGTAGAGACAGGAGAATCTACAGATGATGCTCATGGGCGGGCTAACCTGGCTTGTGCGGCTGCAAACAACAGACCCTGCCTCAAACAGGATGCAGGGTGAGGACCAGCACCCAAGGTTGTCCATCAACCTTCATATGTATTCCCTGGCATGAGTGTGTGCCCAAATCCACACACACCAACACACATAAGAATTCTTAAAATTGGGCCAGTCATGTCCTCCTCTTAGACATACTGGGAGCATGTGAACATATGACGTGGCACCTTCCTGGGGCAAATAGCTTATTTTTACGTATTAATGAAGGAATTTTAAATAATAAGTATCAGGTTCAATGAAAAAATCCAAATTATGTAGAGGATAAAAGGCAGAGTCCCTACTACTGTCCAGTCTCATGTAAGAGATGTCAGAGTTAATGATTTGGTGGAGATGTTCTCCTTTTCACCCAGAGGTCTGTTTCTGTATGTAGACACACATGCCTGTTCATACACACACACACACACACACACACACACACACACACACACATACACACACAGATCAGGGCAGTGCTCTTCTGGATTCTCTGCGTGAGGCCATGTCACTCTCGATCTGGCCAGTGCTCTGCCACCCTCACCTCCTTTTTGGCAACCGTGGGGATTTTGTGATGCAGCTGGGTCTCCGTTTACTTAGCTCTTCCCTTTCTGAGTTTCGACCCATCCAGAAGAGCTACAGAAAGGCCAGTTCCCTCAGTGGAGGTCCTGCCCGACCTCGGCAGGCCAAGCTTTGTTTGCCTTGGATGTTTTATCTTGTACCAAGGTCTTGGATTCTGGCAGAGAGGAAACCTGCTTTGTTTTGTTTCTGCTGACTGAGTCAACAGTGCTGCGTCCTGTCATCGGGCTAGCGGAGCTGTGAGGAATGCCAAGAACAATGTATTGGGCAGAGAAAGACTAACAACAGAAGACTAGAGAATGTGTTATGTTTCCGAAGGGAACCGTCGCCTCCAGATGCCACCAAGAGGAGCCAGGAACGTGTAGTTTCAGAGCTTTGGAGTCAATTGGAACAATGCCTCGTGGAATCCCTTAAGGGACAAGGGGATGAAAAGCCAGCAACACTCCAGTTAGCTGCTTTTAAGCAGCGCTGTACAGGAAAGGACAGCGACAGTATAAAGATCATGGTAGTCATGTCAGCTGATGATTTGTGATTTCTTCTCATTAATCCTCACAACTCTCTGCAGAAAGTAACCCTAATTTAGTTTTTTTTTTTTTATTACTGTAATAAAATACCTGAGGCTAGGTAACATTCTATAGAAAAGTTCATTTAACTCACAGCTCTGGAGGTTCAAGGGTATGGTCCCAGTAGCATCTTAGTTGTTGTGAGGATCTTGAGACTGATGAGGTGGAGCAGATGGTGCCCCCACCACAGCAGAACATGTGTAGAAAAAAGACATCACATTGCCAGACAGGAATCCAGAGAGAAGCCAGGGTGTGGTGAGATTTGATCTTTTATAACAACAGTCTTGTAGGAATGAGCTCAAGAGCCCTCCAAGAACTACCTGGATCCTTTTGGGACCTGCTGCAGTGACCTAAGATACTTCCTTTAAACATTGTCACACTGAGGACCGGACTCCTGACACATGAACTTGTTGGGTGGAAGCTCCAAGTGTAGCAGACTGAGGAGACCAAGACTCCGAGAGTTCTATCGGTGTGCTCACCAAATGTTAAATTCAACTGCTTCACGTCTCTGTGGCATTTACCATAATTCATACAGCTTCCTGAACCAGTAGACAAAGGACTCACATTCAGAACTTGTTTTGCTCTTTACCTGTTCCAGGGTCTTGGGCTAGTCTTTTGGCCTTTGAAGGTGTTCTCTTCCCCCTCTGAAACTTGGGGCTAGCAGGCTATTGTTAGAAAGATGATGTTCAGGATAGGTCAAGTCCTCTGCAGTGATGGCTCCTGTGGCGCTCAAGACTTTGCATGCCAGCTACTTCTCTCCCAAGGGGACTAACTGGTCCATATGACCTTGGCTCTGGATCAGGAGCTCAGTGACCGTGTTCATTCACATAGCTACACCTGCTGGAGCATTGTCGGCCAGTCAGGGCTCCCGGGATGCTGCTTCAGGAAGGAGACGACTGGAACATCAGGACTATGCCTTTTGCTCCTTCTGTGACACTGACAGAGATCTCTTCAACTGTCCAGAAGCAGCCACAGGCCATCCAACTGCAGGGGCCTCAGAACTGTTCATGCACAAGAAAGGAGGAAAACTGGCCATGGGTCAACATTAGTCCATCTGACATCTGCATGCTGGATGCTGAGCATGGGGCTGCACATTAGGCTAGAAATTTTGTGGGGGGAAGGGAGATGAGTATGACCATATCTGTATGGCCAACTGTACCTTCCAGAGTGTTCATGTCCTCAGATACATTCCTCCTGTACTGGCCTAGGGAAGATCTGTGTGCCAGTAGCATCAGGTGGAGTATAAGGGACCATCTCTGAGAGAAGACTGTAAAAGGCATTTCACTGTCTCTCTTGGGTTACCGACTCTGGGTGAAGCCCTCTGCTGTGTCTGAGCAGTCCATGGAGATTTTCACGTGATAAGGTATAAAGTCTTCTTGCCAGTAGTTGTGGTGGTCTGAAAGAAAATGGCCCCCAAAGGGAGTGGCACTTTTAGGGGGTGTAGCCTTGTTGTCATCATAAGTGTGGTCTTGTTGGAGGAAGTACGTCACTGCAGGGGGCGGGCTTTGAGGTCTCTTTTCTTAAGCTTCACTCAGTGTGACAGTCAGTCGACTTCCTGCTGCCTTCTGGTCAAGATGTAGCCAGCACCACATCTGCCTGCATGCCGCCATGCTCCCTGTCATGATGATAATGGACTGAACCACTGAAGCCGTAAGCCACCACCTCAATTAAATGTTTTCTTTGTAAGAGTTGCCATGGTCATGGTGTCTCTTCACAGCAATAAAAAAAAATTCCCTAACTAAGATACTCATGTTCATATATGAGCTGGGAGGCAGATCCTCCAGTCTCAGCCTTCAGAGAATCCCCATTAAACCTTCAGATTAGCATATCTCACCCCCAATTTCAGGAGAGGCCCGGAATCAGACCGTCTCAGCTCACAGATTCCTGACCTTAAGAAATTATTTGAGTGGACTGGAGAGATGGCTCAGAAGTTAAAAGTACCGGCTGCTCTTCCAGAGGGCCTGAGTTCAATTCCCAGCAACCACATGGTGGCTCACAGCAATCTCTAGTGGGATCTGATGCCATCTTCTGGCATAAAGGTGTACATGCAGATAGAGTACTGATACACATTAAAAAAAAAAAAATCTTAAAAAACAAAATGAACACTTGCTTACCAGCCAGGTGGTAATGGTGCACACCTTTAATCCCAGTACTCGGGAGGCAAAGCCTAACTGATTTCTGTCAATTCAAGGCTAGCCTGGTCTATGGTCTATAGAGAAAGTTCTAGGACAGCCAGGGCTACACAGAGAAAAGAAAAGAAAACAAAAACAAAAACAAAAACAAAAACACTTACTTCTCTTTCAGAGAACCCAGGTTTCGTTCCTAGCACCCACATGGTGAGCCACAACCATATGTAACTCCAATTTTGGGGGATTCAATCCCTTTTTCTGTACTCACAGGTACCAGGCATGCATGTGGTACATATATGTACATGCAAGCAAAATAATAATAATAAAATAAATAAAACAAAAGATTTGAGCCTGTTTTCTTGGCACAGGCATATAATCTCAGCTCCATGGGAGACTGAGGCAGGAGAATCACGAGTCCATGCCCTGCCTGGACTACAGAGTGAGTTTAAGGCCAACCTGGGCAACCTAGTGAGACTGACTCAGAACGAGACGTAAGAAGGGGGCTGGGGATGCAACTCTGGCAGAACATTGTCTAGTGTACATGAGGTTCTGGGTGTGTTCCTCTATGCTCTGCATACACACCACATGCATACATGTGCGCACACACACACACACACACACAGAGGGAGATGAGGGAGGGAGAAATATAAAGAGGTTGGTAGGATGGCTTAGCAGGTAAAGGTGTTATAGCCACCAAGCTTTACAGCCCGAGTTCAGTCTCTGAGACCCACATGGCAGGAGGACAGAACTGGCTCTGCACGTTGTCCTCTGACCTCCACACACGTGAGGTGGCATGCATGTGCACAGACATGTAGGTAAATAAATGAATAAATAGTTGTAATAAAAAGTTTTTAAAAACTATTTGAGGTAAACATTTATGGTCTTAAGCTATTACTTTCCAGGTCATTTGTTACAAGGTAATAGTTAATACTACTTCTGTGCATACCCACATATGTGGAGCCACACATTCAGAGGAGAGTGTGTGTGTGACAGGTGTAATGATGTGACATCTAAGGCTAGGTCATGGAAAGTAGATAGCTTTTGTTTGACTTTTGGGGGTGAACCGTACCTAGAAGTTGCTACCGTGCCCAAAGAAGTTCAAGTAGTCTGTGTGAGGAGACCCTCAGTAGAAGCCAGCAGGGAGAGGAGTGAGACCTCAGCCAACGGACTGCCTTGGGCACCAGGTATTGTTGCTGGAGGGCTTCTCTCCAGGTTCCATTAAGCCCCGCAGTCCCACAATCCACATATAAAATAATCACTCAGACGCTTATATCACTTATAAACTGTATGGCCGTGGCAGGCTTCTTGCTAACTGTTCTTATATCTTAAATTAAC